AAAAGATCTTGTTTTCACATAAAGTTAATTTTATACGACCCAAGCTTAGTTCTGTTAATCTGAAAAGAAAGCTAGAAGGGCTTTCCATGTTCAAAATGTGAGCAGACTTTAAAGAGAACTCAGTCATCTTTCAGAACCTCTCTAGCACTGTTAAGATCGTAAATCATTTCTTATTTCTACCACAGCTTCTAGACTTCAGTATATTTTACCCACTAGATAATGGAAGATTGAAGTTGTGTATGAATGGAAAACCATGAGTTTTTGTAACCCCTTTTTTTACAATGCACAAATCAGTTGGACCACAAAACAAACCACAAGCAAACCAAACTTAAGTCTTTTGGGTTTTTTTAGAAGAGTTAATTACGCAAAGTGTGAAAACTCCTGCCTTCATTAGTTGCAGTATTCCCTGCTTATATGCAGAAACATTACTTATCACAATTAGGCAAAAAGGAATTGTTAACAAAAGCTGTTTTCTTTTTAATCACCAGAGAGAAAGTGTAAAATTCCCTCATTGCTCTTTCCTGGGTTTCTTATCTACCTTTATTTTCTATGCGGAGTAAAGAGAGTGACAAGAACCCAAATGATTGTTTCAAAAGAGCTGAATATGAATCTGCAAGAAGAAAAGAACTGAATGTGCCATAAAAAAATATCTACAGCCATCAGGATTGTTCAGCTAAACTGAGGTACTCAATTTAAAAAGTATTAATGGATTGTTCTTGGTCAGATATGTCCATTTCTATATATATTTTTCTGAAAAACTTTGATTATTTGATTAATCATCAAAACAAATGGTGAATTATTTGGTTAATAAAAGCATTTTACTACTGGGCAGTATAACATGGTATGATTACAGTTAATTGCAATAGCTTTGCTCTGCTAGGCATAATTTAACTTCATTTTCAGATCTTCAGCCAGCTGCTTAGAGGAGCCCATGGTTGCTGAATGTTAGCACAAAGTTGGAAGAGCCTGTGTCTGTTTCCCATTGCACTACAGAACTGTGAAAGTAAGCAGGGTTCTGCGGAGGTTGTGTGGTGGTCATGTGATTTCTTGCAAAAGCTTTTTGTAGCCAGCTAGGAGTCTTTCTATTCCTGTTTTAGGAATTTTCACCAACTCTTCCTCGCAGAACTCTGCTAGTTCTGTGATATTCTTGTATTCAAGAATAGCTGTTTCAAAAATCTTTCCAAAACCTTTAGCTTATATTTCTTGAAGCTCACATATTTATTGAATAGTATCAGTGCCCTGTTGTAGAAACCTGCCCTTTTCAGCTTCAGTCTCACATTTGCTTTGAAAATTATCTGATACTTAACGGAATCCATTCTTCTATCTACCTGCGCAATACTTCTTATGCCACTGAATGCCACTCAACCCCAAAGCATAATAGATCCATGCCCATGCTTAACAGTTGGCAAGGTGTTCTTTTCATCAAATGCTGCTCTTTATTTCTTCCAAACATACCTTTGGTGATTGTGTGTCAAAGAGTTTTACTTCATCAATCCACAGCATTTGTTTCAAAATTCAGACATTGACTTTTGTGGTCAGGTCGAAGTTAAAGTTTCCTACTAGTGACTCTTTCATGCTGATCATGCTTGTGCAAGCAGTGTTGCACAGTAGAACACTGCGCCACCACATCTGTGTCAGCTAAACATTCCTGCAGCTTTTTTGCTGTCATATCGGGGTTTTGCTTTGCCCTTGTGGACAGCATATAAACAGCTCTATCTGAGAGTTGTCTTTATCTTCAAAATATAGAAGCTTTAGCGCAAGTTCTACCAGGAACACTCAAATGTTACATCACTCATAGTTTATCCAATCACTGGCATCCACCTGTCTTTAAAATGATTTGGCTTATGTGCCTGTTTTGCTGCTTTGAGGTGCCAATGTTTTGACATTCCCCTCTTTCCTCCCCACCACTAACAGTTTGTTCCCCACCCAGTTGTTCAGGGAGTAGGCTCCGCCCCTGCCGTCCCTATGGATCCCGCTGGATCTGCAAGGGTCTAGATGTGTCATATGTGAATTATATTCCTATTCATGAAATATACTGAATAAAAATCTAAACATTTTCATACGTTAAATCATATCAAAGAAATGCAAAAACAGCAATGAGAAATCAGGTTATTAACGCAGACGATCAGACTAAACGGCAGAAATAGCGACGGTTTTGCATCAAGCTTAAAGAATTAACCGATCTTTTGGAGAGAAAGGGCAGGCCATCCCTTCAACAGTCAGAACAATAAGAGTTTTATTAGAATATTATTCCAGTTACACCTCTTTTACATGATGCACTTTGAACCTGAAGTTTGTATATACAGGATCTTACAGTGTACTAGAGCTCACAGTTCCTGTGGTAAAGGCAGAGTCACCCGACAGATTATTAATCCATCAAACGAAAGTCACATTCAAAACAGCCTATTATTAATCGGAAGGTCAGATGACGTTTCTCAACTACAATCAAAGAAAGAAACTGAAGGCTGTTGCCAAAGTGCTGTTGATTTCACAAGAAAGTAGATGTTAGGGTAAATCCCCACAAATGCAGTTACATTACTGAGAGAAACCTACTCTAGATAAAGCCCACTCCTAGCCGGAGATCTTCTTTGAACTCCTAGAGTTCTCTCTAGCTCAGTGTCGATCCTACAGAGATATGCTACAGAGCGAAGCAGACAAACAGATGCTCTAAAACCAGATATGAACAAGTGTAGCTATTTAGAGGCAAAGAACTGACTCAGTATTTTCATCTCATTCGCATCATTGTTGGATATCCAGCAATGATTTCAGTTAGATTAGTGTGGATGTCGATTTCAGTCAGAAGTGGGCAAACTGCACTATTGATTTATTGATCAAACCGCAATATTGATCTATTGACTCTGCACTGAAATAAGCGATGCACTGAATTTACTTTCATTCAAATGTGTACATTATGTCCTATCATATATCAGTTTATCTGACCTCTCTATGTTTGCTGTTCTTTCAGAGTTTTACAAAATGTTGGCCAAAATCTCATTCAACCTAATAAGAAACTTCAGAGAGCACTGTAGCAGCAAAAATGGTTCTTCTATGGTTACGATGTCAAGTTTGTAACAATAGAAGAACCATTTTTGGTGCTACGTAGAACCATTTCCATACAGGTTCAATAGAGAAATATATGCAATACATTGTCCATCAATGTGAAGAACTATTTCACCATGCAAAGTACCATTCAAGCATAAAAATGGTTCTATATAGAACTCATGGTTTTAAATAGAGCTATTCTCTTTACTAAATATCCCTTGAAGAACCATCTTTTTTAACAGTTTGCACTACTAGCTACAGCAAAAACAAAAAATGCTTTTGTTGTCTATACTAATCTATACTAAAAAAGCTACTCACTGACATAAATGGGGAAAGACCAAACAGAGTGTGAAATCTTTAGATCCCAATGGAAAATCACTAAGCCATGGCTGACTGTAAGCTCAATGAAATATAACTCTCATGGAGTCAAATAAACATAATACTTGTAGCACTATAATATGTCCTTGTAGTGTCTACTTCCACATTTTTTCTTCTAGTCCTTCAGAGAACATACAAAGTCTCTATAAAGTTTAATGATGATTCAGTCACTGAAATTCCCTGTAACTGTAAGATAGAGTAAGATTACACAACTCTACAATTTGGGATGCAAATTTGGTCTGACAAGTAAGGGGGACCCACACTGGGATGATAAAGCTTACATATAACAACAATATCACTGCTGTGGGAGAGTTTATGGAAAAATGTTATCAATGATATAAGTTATGTAACTTTTGTGACTATCATCCCAAACCCTCCCAAAATGTATCTTGCATAATTTCCAAAAGTGGGGTGGCCATGACCCTCCCATCCCCTGTCTATCTAACAGTGTGACTTTGAATAACGGAATTCACTCTAAATTTCAATATTTTCTTGTGTGCTACAGTTTCTTTTTAGGTTGAATGAAATGTTTGCCAATGTTCTCTATAGCTTGATCAACCTAGCAACAGTTGCTATTACAGAACACTTTTATAGAAGGAGCCTGAAGTGGAATGTTGCGTGACATTCTAACAGTGAATTCACTGAAAAATAACTGTAAAAGAGTCAAAATAAAATTTTGCTTTTACTTATTTCAGTCCAGTGGGGAATCTTTGGCCTTCTAGGCCTTCAGAAAAGGCCTAATGATTTCTGGGATACAGATACTAGGGTTATCCAAAAAAAACAGCATAAAATTGTCCAATCAGGATTGTATCTAGGTAGATTCAGTCGAGTGAGTGCTCCCATTTGTTAGGACTTCAGAAACTGAAGATTAGCCACTAACATAATTAGGAAGTGACACAGGAATCAACCAATCACCAATTCTGATTTACAAAGGGTGGGGCCATTTCATGGGGGAAAAAAGTCTCTTTAGGCCTTTTGAAAGCTCTAGATATCTCACTGACTGAATATGAGCTGTAGTCTTACCAGGTTCCAGTTAGTTGTTGGGAATGGAAAACATTCACATTTACATTTATGGCATTTGACAGGCGCTTTTATCCAGAGCGACTTTTGATCATTTTACACAAACAGGCAAAGGTAGTGTTGGGAGTCTTGCCCAAGGACTCTTATTGGTAAAGTGTGGGGTGCTTGCCCAGGCAGGGGATTGAACCCCCGTCTACAGCATAGAAGGCAGAGGTGTTACCCACTACACTATAGAAACCACTAAAATAGCGATATCAGCTCTATGCCAGGGATCTTTACCTACAGTCATCACATACTATGCAAAATATGTGCTAATGTACATTGCAGCAGTGTTAGCTTAGTGCTAACACATTATTAGATTCCAGAAATACAAGCAGAAATGAGAGTTAATGTCTAGGTGGGGCTTTTCTTTTTTTTTTGACCGTGTTTTGACATTTATGTCCCTGATAGTCACGGTTTGCTGCTGCTTTTGACCATAACTGTCCTAGTGTAATATACTTTGTTCATGTGGAAGTCATGTACACATTTGAATCAGCTAAATTCAGTGATTTTTTAGTGACTGGTTTTAAGAAATGCTAACTGCTAACTGGTCATTAGTACTCAGTGGTGCAAAGTCTTTCTTAAGTCACAGCCCAGTAAAGACAAACACAGATGAAGTCATCATCATGTATAGAGTCAATATTCCAGTTCTAAATTCCATCCTACTTTCTAAATATTGAGCTATTGGGAAAAACTGTGGAGCTTCAAGTAAACAAAGAGTAGTTCTGAAAGAACAAGGCAAAGAATGATCACAAAAGAAGCAGTAGGCCTACTGTGCTGATCCAATTGCTTTCTGAACTAAGTAAATACATTAGCAATTAAATTTGAGTTATATGTAGCTCAGCACTAATTGAATAATATGAGTAAACATCACCAGAGGAGTCATTTCACTTTCATATAATACACAACGGCCCTTCGTACATTTAGCTCTTCTGACATGTTTTCCTTCATTATATAGAGTTATTTATCATATCTCAATATATTTTCACTTAGGAAAAAAAGAACATTGCACAAACCCAATAAAACTTTCCTGATTTGTCAAAAAGATAAACCTCGCTCTACTGTCACATTCTGTCTTCAAATTCATTGAAAAATTACTCTCATAGAATCATAGTAAAATAAAAAATATATGCTTCCTTCCTTGTAGTGTCTATTGCAACAAACATAAAGGTGTCAGGATTTAAACAGATTGATTCAGTACATTAAATACGGGTTATAAAACAAGAGTACATTATCTATGTTCCATAAAAGTGCTCGTCTATGTTAACAAATCAGTTTTCAAGTCAAATATCAACTACTGGAAATAAAAAAAAAAAGACGCACATCAAAGAGTAATCAGTAGTGAATTGTGTTTGTAGTGTTTCTTCCATGACTGTCCAGGCAAGTTCTTTTCTCCTGGATTAAGCCAAAAACTGGTCCTCTTTGAATGGACATTCACCAGTGAAAGTTCCATTAAATCCACAATCTGGCCTAATCTAGGCACAAAAAATACCATCCCTACACGAACAAAACCAGACTGCTCAAGTTTCATTGGCAACGTAAAAAAAGACCTCAGGTCTTCATAGTGCAAATGGGCACGACGATGACCAATATCACAGTGCATGCCGCCGCGGCAATCAGAGCACCAATCTTACACACTTTAGCTCTGCGAAACTCCGCCTCCTTGCGCTTCAGCAGCGAATCGTAGCCCGGTGTGTAGATGTCCTCCATCCAGTACTCCAGATTGTTGGGGTTGAGGGACTCCTGGGTCTGTGGAGAAAGAGAGGGGGACATTATGAGGCTTTGTAAAGGGGAAGAATTGCACCAAAAAGGTTCTATAAACAACCATCTATACCACATCTCCATCAATCTGAAGAACCCTAACAAGATGCAAATAACCCAAATAACCCTAATTATACATAGTGCTAGTGTTCATGGTTCCATATAGAACCAATTTCTTTACTAAAAAAACATAATTTTTAAGTGTGTACTGAACTTGTTGGTGATGAATTAGTGCCTGGTGACTTTACCTAGAACAATAAAGAAGACAGAGGAAAACACTCGCAAGTACAATAAGGTGCTGTTGGTACAAATCTTGAGCAAGAACCAAAAACCAAAAACCAAAAAACCAAAAAACTAGAACCTTCAGTGCTGGAATGATAACCAATGTAAGCACAGACAAACACAAACACTCTAAACGGATCACTGACGAGGCAAGACAGAGTTGACGTTATTAAGGCCTCTAGTGTGAAACGAAGGCCGAGGAAGATGAATGGCTCTCTTGTCCATTCTTCAAACCCAAACTCAGAGATTACTGAAGCAGCGCTTTCAGCTCTGGTGGAATTCTTCAGCTGCCCACATATTGCCGTTTTAATTGAATTAGGAGTGATAAAGCAAAGACGAGGAAATAAAGTGGAAAAGAGATGGAGCGCAAGAAAGAACAGAGGATACAGAAGTGTGAAATGACTTCTAGAGGTCAAACATGGAATACTGGTTGAATGAGAGATGGCAAGGCTGAGTAAGAGAGAAGTGGGGAAAAACAGCTTAAAAATGGACAGACAGAAAGAGGCAAGCAAACAAATACATTTACATTTGACTTACATTCTGTATTCACAGGTTCAAGTCTGCATTTCTGACATTTTTTGTTTTTTTGTCAAAAATGCACAAAATTTTCTAACTGATATTCAAATCATAATGACGTATCTCCTCTTCTACTTACGAACACCAATGTGGTATGGATTGAAAGTTTAGAATTTACACTTTCTGAACAGTTTCTTCATCTGCTTCAATAAGCTTCTACCTCTCCACCTGCTTCAATAAGCTTCTGCCTCTCCATCTGCTTCAATCTGCTTATGAATACATACATTTTTGTTCATGTTTATTAGTACACAGAGGTGGGAACAAGTCAATTTGCAAGTAAGAATTAAGTCTCAAGTCCTGGCACTCGAGTCCTGAGTCAAGACCCAAGTTAAAACAGTCAAGTCTTGATTCAAGTCCTGAGTCCCACATCAATACAGGCAAGTCTTAAGTCAAGTCAGTCTCTTTATTCTTCAGCTAATTTAAGGTAATTTCAGCACCGAATACCAAAAATGATGGTAACTGTAATAGTCTTTAAATGATAGTATGTTAGTAGTTTGTATGGCTATATATTACATAATTATATAACATTTTTTACCCTTATCCAAATAAAATATAAAATCCATGGTACATAGATAACGATGACAGACATAATGGTATACACAAAGAGTAGTGCACTACACATGAAAATAATTTTCAAAGTACTATTAAACTCAATAAAAAAAAATGGGAACACTTTATTTGGATGGTCCACTGTAGAGGCTTTGTAGATGCTCAGTCTACCTTTAACTAACATTCAACTAAATATCTATTAAATACAACTGAACTTGAAGTTGTGTGTGAAAGATTCTATTAAATCTAACCCTAAACCTAACCTTAACCCTAACCTTAAGGCAAAACCTATATCTACTCTCAAACCTACCCCTAACCTTAACTTTGTTGATAAATCAACATCAAAAAGTTTGTTAATAATGCATGAAGATAATTTTTTTATGATTTTTGAGAGCATTGGGAACAGGCTTCAAATAAAAACTAGCTCAGTGCAAAAACTATCTCAGCAAACTAAAAACAGCTGCACGTTTTAATTTAATTTAGACCACAACAGAAACCAAAACGAGCAAGCTGAACAAAGTTTACAGAAAAGGAAGCAAAATGATTGTGAATGACAAAGCTGAAGTTGGCTACTTCAAATTTCAACCTTCAATGGTACAGCAGTCAGGTGCCAGAATGTAACTGCTGCACCATTTAAGGTTGAACAGCAAATTCCAATATGAAGCTGGTGAATAACAGGTAACATCATCTCTGTGGTGAATGTTGCACTTGTTTTATCTGCAGTAGCTGTTAAAATCAATCAAATAGAGAGAGCTGTGTTTCTTTTGTTTTGCTACCATGAGGAAAATGGTCAGTTCACCCGGTGAGTTTCTCCAATAAGGCCTTATAAATGCTTCAGTTGTTTCAAGCTTATGGAGGTGAACTAGGATTCTAAACACTTCAGCTTGTCTTCTGAAATAAAATAAGCCAAATATAAACACAATAAAAGACATTTGACGACACTGCTGTATATCAGATTTACGGCAGGAAATGAATCCATTAACATGAAAAGTGACCAACTGTGTAGTAGATGCATCTCCACGTTTCCTCCACTTTGGGTCTTGAGTCTTTCCGAGTCATGAGGCTCAAGTCCGAGTTGAAGTTCAAGTCATTGGTGTTCAAGTCAAGGTCAAGTTGCAAGTCCTTCTTGATTTTCAAGTCATCACATTCATATATGACTTGGGCCCACACCTCTGTAAGTGCAAAGCCAAAAGATGTAAGGTGTGTAAATTTGAAGCGGGTCCTGGACACAAATGCAGAATAAGAATGAGCATATTTATTGGTCATCATATGGCAGAAGCAAAATGGAAGTATAGAAATGTTCCTCCTTTCTGCTTTTCAATTTCTTCTAGTGTTGTTTTCTAAGCCAAAGCTGTAATAAAACATGGCCTCAGCCTCCTGATTGATCGGCTGGCTGTACGCTTCATCTCTGGGAATGCTTGTTTCCCACTGCTGTCTCTGAGCCTGAGCTAATTCATTGCCTTCTCTGGAATTCCACTCTCCATCAGAAAATCTATGTGCTCCTGGGGTCAGCCCATTGATCGGCAACAGAGGAAGCCTTTGAACAGAAATGTTTGTATTTTGTGTCCTTGCATAAGGGCACCGTTAGGTTCTTTGGCTTTTAATTATAATCACCGTAAAGTCCAGGTTGCTGAGACCATGCTAATGAGCTAAGAGCAGGATGGTGGAGCGCACTATTCAGAACATCTGTTTTGCTTTGACGTGAAGAATGTCCTTGTGAATTGACAAAATAATGATTTGTGGACTTAATTGGTGCTACAGGATGTATTAACAGGCTAAGCCCACTCTCGCTCCAGGGGCTTCACTTCTAAAATATTCCTTGTATGGACACTGATGGGATAATTGGTATTCCTAAAATCTAAAAGAGTTAAGCAGAAATAAGCAGTAAGTAAAAAACAGACTGTACATTATTGCTTCACATTGTGCCTAAGAACATGCATTAACTCCTTAAAATCTCAGGCTTATTACATACAAAGGCTTTTCTACAAATAAATCATGAAAAATGGAAATACTGATCGTTGGTACAAAACTCAGAGAAAGTTGCTTTATGAGAAACTTGGTTCTCTGACTTCAAATACCAAACCTAAAGTACAAAACCTGGGTTTGATCTTAGACTCTGATCGCTGTTTTATCCTGCATGTAAATGCAGTCACTAAAGTAGCTTTTAATCATTTGCAAAATATCACTAAAGTTCGGCCTTTTTTTATCTCAGAGTGACGCAAAGAAACTTGTTCATGCATTTGTTACAAGCAGAGTTGATCACTGTAATGATCTTCTTACTGGACTTCCTGAGAAAACAAACAATCATAAAATGCAGCAGCATCCTAACAAAAAAAACACAGAGAGATCGTATCACTCCTGTTTTAAAAGAACTGCACTGACTGTCTATATGATTCAGGATAGATTTTAAAGTTCTGCTACTAGTTTTTAAGGCTCTAAATGACCTTAAAGCACCGCTTACATCACAGAGTGTCTGTCCGTTTATGTTCCAGCACGTGATCTTAGATCTGCAGATACTGACCTTCTACACCTTCTGTAAAATACAGAAAACATGGAGAGACTCGTTCAGTTATTCTGCTTCTAAACTGTGGAACTCAATTCACCTTTCATTAGACAGTCAAGCTCAGTGCTCACTTTTAAGAAGCATCTAAAATTGTGTCTCTTTAACTCAGCGTTTAATTAAAACTCTACATCTCGTGGTATTTATCTTTTAATTTGATCTGTTTTTTTTCTGATTCTACAGTGGTGTGAAAAAGTGTTTGCCCCCTTCCTGATTTCTTATTCTTTTGCATGTTTGTCACACTTGAATGTTTCAGATCACCAAACAAATTTAAATATTAGACAAAGATAACACAGGTAAACACAAAATGCAGTTTATAAATGAAGGTCTTTATTATTAAGGGAAAAACAAATCCAAACCTACAGGGCCCTGTGTGAAAAAGTGATTGCCCCCTAAACCTAATAACTGGTTGGGCCACCCTTAGCAGCAACAACTGCAATCAAGTGTTTGCGATAACTGGCAATTAGTCTTTTACAGTGCTGGGGAGGAATTTTGGCCCTCTCATATTTGCAGAATTGTTGTAATTCAGCCACATTGGAGGGTTTCCAAGCATGAACCGCCTTTTTAAGGTCATGTCACAGCATCTCAATCGGATTCAGGTCAGGACTTTGACTAGGCCGCTCCAAAGTCTTCATTTTGTTTTTCTTAAGCCATTCAGAGGTGGACTTGCTGGTGTGTTTTGGATCATTGTCCTGCTGCAGAACCCAAGTGCGCTTCAGCTTGAGGTCACGAACAGATGGCCAGACATTCTCCTTCAGGATTTTTTGGTAGACAGCAGAATTCATGGTTCCATTTACCACAGCAAGTCTTCCAGGTCCTGAAGCAGCAAAACAGCCCCAGACCATCACACTACCACCACCATATTTTACTGTTGGTATGATGTTCCTTTTCTGAAATGCTGTTTTACTTCTACGCCAGATGTAATGGGACATACACCTTCCAAAAAGTTCAACTTTTGTCTCGTCAGTCCACAGAGTTTTCTCCCAAAAGTCTTGGGGATCATCAAGATGTTTTCTGGCAA